GAGTATATACATACGACGCACCGAACAGGCAGGCAGCTGAAAGGTTCGTATTCACAAGTGGTTGGTGGTGCCACCCGAAATATACCATAAAACTGTTAAGCTTCGAACAAATTACTACTTAAACAACGAGCTCCCTAAGATAAGGTGACTTGATAGGTTTTCAAATAGGTTTTGAGATATCGATTCGCTGCCTGCATTCATAATGGATAATGGTCCTCCGAATTTCTGTCTTGCACCATGGATCCACATCGGAGGATTATTAATACATTTTCAATTAATTCATTAACATAACCAAAAAGTGAATACAAAAAAATATTTGATATAAGATGCTGCAGCAGTGCTTCAATTTCATCCACGAAAAAAAATATCATATAACTAATTAATGAGTCATCATCAGCGATCGGTTGGAAATGGGAAAGCCAGCACATTCTGTATCGGCAGTAACAGGATCTGCGCCACTGCGTAGAAGCAAAACACTATCGCTTCGCCTTTCATATCTGCGCTTTGCTATGATGAACTGCTCTTAACCCAAAAGGTAATCCATGTTCAAGAAGGCCCATCAAGACTACCACAAAGAGTAAGGAATGCTGAAAGTCAGGTTACATTCTTGTCTCAATGAGATATTCTCTGCGTCAGCAGCGCCTGGTTCGTCGGTTACCATGGGTCCGAAAAACACAGCAGAATTTAGTTTATTCTCTACCTGTACCAGCCGTAGGGCATGAACCAGCTATTCACAGTACCACAGTATGATAAGAAACACGTAAATTTCAATGTTTTCTAAATGCGACTGCACCGCCGTTTGAAACATGGTAGGCTAGAGCCACGTCTTGTTGTTACCATTTTGTAACCTTCGTTTGAGATTAATAGAACTTAACAGAGTTAACATCACATTAGACCAGATTTGTAACACCTGAAGGCTAGAAATAGTACTTCACATTGAATTTAGAGTCGTCTCTTAAAGAGATATGCAGATCCTTTGCGCCACCGACGTCTGATTGACCATATTCCTATGGCATGTAACACGCTGACTGGCACAGTGAAGGTATTATCGTACCGTATTATTACAAATTTCTATACTATACTATTTCAAAAGCATCGATTCCTGAAGAGACGAATCCCGGTCCCATCCACCGCTTAGCACTGCAAGAATGCAGAAAATCCGATCGAGAATTTTTCAAGCACAGTGGCAGTTTTATGGATAAGAATAAGTAAAACTTTTCAGGAAACTATTTAATGGCCATTTAAAGTTTTTTTGTTAATTTTAAAGAGCCGATTCCCCACTGCAACGATGAACTGTACCATACAGCGGTAGTTTTGCACGTCTTCAGGTCTCAATACAGACACGGTGCAGATAAAGGTGAGTCAAAAGCCCCTTCTCAAAGCAAAGCTGATATTCGCTGCTAGCTTGAATGAGTGGTTGTAGTACCTGAAGAAGATTCATTTTACTGAATCTACTTCTCAATCCTATTTGCAATTTTGGCTTGGAGACAATTTTTTCCCAAGACAATAGATTACCAAATGCATTAGAAGCGAGGGAAACCCTCCTGTTTAACTCTGAAACGATGGTGCTAAAGATGATACAGCTGAGGTATTTAAACTGGTCGACTTGGTCCACCGCCTCCCGTTCATATACCACAAATCAATCAATCGTGTCCGGTAGGCTGCCAATAACTTTGAACTTCCGGACGTTAGCGTAGAGGTGGATGTCTTGTGTTGCATACAGATGCCGTCAGATGCTGAATCCCGATTCACTTAAAACTCATTAAGAAAATATCATCTGCATACGCAAATCTGATATTCGCATATCTTTAACTATGTTTTTTCCTCTAAAATGAGACCATGATCTTTGCCACAGTCAGCATGGCTGAGGAGAAGAAAGTCGAGAACAATTCTGGATAGGAAAGGGGAATGCACATCTCCCTGGCGAACTGTACAATTAAGTGGGAAACATTCAGAAACCTTACCTTCATCTCTGAGAGCAAATATGGTTTTTGGATACATTTCTTGCAGCATATAAACTAAGTGCTCAAGTATCCCACAGAATTTCACGATTTTCTACCTGGTCCGAACCAAAGACGGCCAAAGGTAATCTCGGCATTGTTCAACGATCAATGGAAATTTGGCTGCAGCAAGAAAACGAAGTTTCGAAACGCTCAGATTTGGTCAGAGTCATGTAACCATCAACTGCAAACCTCAGCCTTTCCAGTACAATCCAGAATTTCAGTGTGAAGACGAGCCATCTTGCAAACGAACACTCAATCTGAGCACTCAGTCATGAACTGACCAACATTTGTTCGACAGCAAGACAGGAAACGAAATTCACTTTCGCTGTTTGAGTGACTGAGATATATTAGCCTGTAGTAGCATATCTGCTCATTCTTCTTCTGTCAGGTTTTGGGAAGC